GTCTCTGCTTAGTCTCTGCTTAGTCTCTGCTTAGTCTCTGCTTAGTCTCTGCTTAGTCTCTGCTTAGTCTCTGCTTAGTCTCTGCTTAGTCTCTGCTTAGTCTCTGCTTAGTCTCTGCTTAGTCTCTGCTTAGTCTCTGCTTAGTCTCTGCTTAGTCTCTGCTTAGTCTCTGCTTAGTCTCTGCTTAGTCTCTGCTTAGTCTCTGCTTAGTCTCTGCTTAGTCTCTGCTCAGTCTCTGTTCAGTCTAATGCATTAAAGCTTGTCTGCAGAAGGATCCGAGTGTCCTGCGTGTGTTTCTTGCTGGCGAGGAATACAGAGCGGGCGCGGGACAGTGTTTTGTGGCTAAAGAATGTTGACGCAAGTCCAAACATGTCAGTATGCAATTTGTAGGAAAAGAAATATGGGGAGCTGGCCTGGAGTGTTGGCGCACGCCTTTAATCCCAGCACTCGGGAGGCAGAGGCAGGCAGATCTCTGAGTTCATGCCACCCTCTTTTGTAGAAGGAGTTCCAGGGCTCCACAGAGAAATATTGAAAACAAAACAACAGCCGGGCATTGCTGGCACATGCCTTTAATCCCAGCACTCGGGAGGCAGAGGCAGGTGGATCTCTGTGAGTTCGAGGCCAGCCTGGTCTCCAGAGCAAGTGCCAGGATAGGCTCCAAAGCTACACAGAGAAACCCTATCTCGAAAAACCAAAACAAACAAACAAACAAACAACAAACAAACAAACAAACAAAAAGCAACAAAAAAGAAAGAAAGATATATGGCTTGGGGAAATGGCTCAGCACTCTCACCCACCATGGAACCTAATGGCCTGAGTTTGATCCCTGGGATCTACATGGTAGGAGAGGACTTCTGAAAGTTGTTTTCTAACCTACATACAGGCACTGTGGCATGTGTGTACCGGCAGGAGCATAGACAAACCCCCCACCCCACCCCCACTCCACACACACACACACACACACACACACACACACACACACAATATATATATAAACCAGCAGAGTGCTGACTGGTGGTGCATGTTAATCCCAGTATTTGGGAAGTAGTGATCCAGAGGATCAATATGAATCCAGGACAACCTGGGTAAAGAATGACACCCTGCTCAAAAAACCCAAACCCAGTGTGGTGGTACGTCCTCATCACAATACTGGGAAGGTAGAAGCAGGGAACCAGGCATTTAAAGTCACCCATTGCCACATACCTAGCTGGAGGCCAGCATAGTAATATGCATGGGACCCTGTCACAAACAACAACATTAAAAAAACTACACAAGGGGAAACAAATGACAATATCAAAAAAACAAAACCAACCAACCAAAACAAAACAGGGACTAGAAAGATGGCTCATTGTACCAGGCTTTTTCTTTTGGTCCACCAACCAGCTCCCAAGTCATGACACAGAGATTTATTATGAGTTTTGAATGCTCTGCCTAGCTTAGGCACATTTCTGGCTAGCTCCTTTAACTCAGATTAACCCAATTCTCTTTATCTACATTTTGCCTCAGGATTTATTACCTTTCTTCCTGTACATCCTACTGTCACTGCTTCTTCTACAGCTGGCTGACTGGTGTCTGCTTGGCTTCTCACCGAGGGTGTGTCCCTCGTTCTTTCCTCCTTCTCTCATTCTGCCTTTTTCTCTCCTATTTGAGCCTAGATTTCTCCTTCTATTTATCCTCTGCCTACTAGCCCTGCCTGTTTGTCTGCCTAGCTGTTGGCCATTCAGCTATTCATTAAACCAATCAGGTGCCTTTGGCAGGCAAGGTGAAACAGATGCAACACATTTTTACATAATTAAACACACGTTCTTGGGGCTGAAGAGATGGCTCAGAGGTTCAGAGCAATGGATGCTCTTTCAGAGGTCCTGAGTTCAACTCCCAGCAGCCACATGTTGGCTCACAACCATCTGTAATGAGATCTGGTGCCCTCTTCTGGCCTGCAGACATACACACAGGTGGAACACTGCATACATAATAAATAACATCGTTAAACAAATGCAGCATAAACAAAAGTAACACACCTTTATGCAAAGTAATATTCTGCAACATAAAAGATGTAACACGTCTTTGCCTAGTTAAAATATTCTACAACAGCCGGGCATTGTAAAGCCGGGCCTTTAATCCTAGCACTTGGGAGGCAGAGGCAGGTGGATCTCTGTGAGTTCGAGATCAGCCTGGTCTACAAGAGTGAGTTCCAGGACAGCCTTCAAAGCCACAGAGAAACCCTGTCTCGAAAAACCAAAATAATAAAAAAAAATCTACAATAGCTAAGTGATCGAGGGTACCTGCCATTGTTTCAGACAACATGAGTTCAATTGGTACACAGACTACCTGTAACTTTACCTCCAGTAGATCCACTTTCCTTTTCCGGCACCCACAGGCACCCCACTGACATCATACACACAGAGAAAAAGAGAGGGAAAAATCCAACCAACCATGCTGCCTCCACTTTCCAAGTTCTGGCATTACAGGTTTATTTATTTATTTATTTATTTATTTATTTATTTATTTTGGTTTTTGGAAACAGGGTTCCTCTGTGTAGCTTTGGAGCCTATCCTGGCACTCGCTCTGTCGACCAGGCTGGCCTTGAACTCAAAGAGATCTGCCTACCTCTGCCTCCCTAGTGCCTAGTGAGTTTAAATGTTTGAGCCACCCAAGCCTGGTTTAGCATTACAGATTTATGTGGTGCTGGGGATCAAATCCAGGCCTTCATGTGTGCTAGCCAAGCATTCTACCAATACAGCTATATCATCAGATACAAACAATATCTTTAGTCTTGCAACTCAGTCTCTTTTTTCACAAAGTACAGACATGTAGGTGGAGGGTTCTATTGGGGGAAAAAGGACAGGTGCAGATGCCTCTCAGAAGAATTAAACAGGTTTAACTCTTCCCCAGTTTCCTTTGGGAACTCCCAGTTTATTAAATGCCTGTCCAATATCCCTTGTGATCTTCCTCAAGTCCCCTTATGTCTCAAGGATTTCTGGGCATTGCAAGTTAAAGGGTGAGATTGCACAGGTATTTTAAATGTCCCTGAATTGTTGCTGTGAGTGGCAACTTTTCCTGAACTTTCCATGTCAAGAAGAGACCTTTCATTGGCAACTATATTGACAAATGTCAACAGTTGGCTCCCAGTGAAGAAAGCCACGTTGGATAAATTATAGCATTGGGTTGATCACACAATTTCTTTCCACCTGAAAGGAGACAGAAATGTACAAAGTCAGAAACAACAATAACAACACAAACAGACTAAGTGGATCACCTGTGTTCTTTGGGGGTTGGAGGCAAGGGCTTCAGAACAGACACAAATCCCATTGTGGACATCTGAGCTTTGTAACGGGGTTTGGGGAGACCTCAGTAGACTGATATCTTTTGTTGTAGTGGGAAAGTCTTGGCTCCATGGCTTTAGTGGGAAGCCACTTGCTCACATCTCTGTGGACCAGGAAGCAAAAAGGAGGAAATCCTAGCACTGGGCTGGCTTTCTACTTCTAAAGACAAGATGTGTGGCTGGAGAGATAGTCCAGGAGGTCTTCCAGAGGACTGGGGTTCTTTCTATTCCCTCACTGGAGTGGCAGCTCCCAACTGTCTGAAACTCCAGTTCCAGGGGATCTGATGCCTCTTCTGGCAGGCACCAGGCATGCACATGGTGCACAGACAGGCAGGCAAAATGTTCATACACATTTTTAAAAAGTGTGTGTGTGGCGCATGCCTTTAATCCCAGCACTCGGGAGGCAGAGGCAGGTGGATCTCTGTGAGTTCGAGGCCACCCTGGTCTACAGAGCAAGTTCCAGGACAGGCTTCAAAGGTACACAGAGAAACTCTGTCTCAAAAAACAAACAAACAAAACAAAACGTGTGTGTATGTGTGTGTGTGTGTGTGTGTAGGTTAGAAAACTGCTTTTGGGAGTCATTTCTCTGCAGCCACCATGTGCTTCAGGGGTGGAAACCAGGTTGTTGGACTTGGTGGCAAGTGCCTATACCCACTGAGTCATCTCATTGACTCGTGCTATTTGCTTTTCTTTCTTTCTTTCTTTCTTTCTTTCTTTCTTTCTTTTTTTTTTTTTTTTTGTTTTTCGAGACAGGGTTTCTCTGTGGCTTTGGAGGCTGTCCTGGAACTAGCTCTTGTAGACCAGGCTCGTCTCGAACTCACAGAGATCCGCCCGCCTCTGCCTCCCTAGTGCTGGGATTAAAGGCGTGGGCCACCAACGCCCGGCTGACCCGTGCTATTTTCATACAAATGTGCAGTATACACTTTAAGCCGTGTTTTGTGGTAGGTCACATCATATATCCCTGGCTGCCCTTGGCTGGCTTGAACTCACAGAAATCCACCTACCTCCTGTGTGCTGGGATTAAAGGTATGTAAGTACCACCATGTAGTATCTATGTTTGTATTCTCTTTCCTACCGCCTAGTTATTCAGCCCAAGAGTCCAGCTCATGGGATGGGTATTCTAACTGGTTTTATTCCAACTTGACACAAGCTAGAATCATCAGAGAGGAAGGAGCCTCAGTTGAGGAAATGCCTCCAATAGATCCAGCTTCAGAGCATTTTCATAATTTAGTGAGTAAAGGGAGAGGACCCCTATGGGTGATGCCATCCCTGGGCTGGTGGTCCTGGGTTCTATAAGAAAGCAGGCTGAGAAAGTTAGGTGAAGCAAGCCAGTAAGCAGCACCCTCCATTGCCTCTGCATCAGCTCCTGCCTGCAGGTTCCTGCCCTGCTTGAGTTCCTGTCCTGATTTCCTTTGGTGATGAACAGCAATATGGAAGTACAAGTTAAATAAATAAACCCTTTCACCACCCCCCTATTGCATTTTGACCATGATATTTCATTGCAGCAGTAGAAACCCTAAGTAAGACAGATGGTACCATCCAGATTCAGTTGGTTCTTCCCCCCTCAGTTCATACTCTCTGGAAATTCCCGCACAGATACAACCAGAGATGTGTCTCCCAGGTAATCCAAATCATCATCAAGTTAGCAATGGAGCTAACGAGGCGGATAAGGTTACATTATCCATCAGGAAACTCCACTGCCATTTTCTCTGTGTATGTAGCAACCTGGGTGTGCGGTAAGCCAGGCAATCTTTATCATACTCGGGGTTACACAACATACAGTAGGACTTCTGGGCTCCACTCCACCACCCTCAGCTGAAAAGGTTTTATCCTTCCCCCATTCTGATCAGATAAATACAACCTGGCCCCAAACACTTCTGTAGTCAGAACATCGATCCTGGTCAAGTCTCTAGGGTTTTGGAGACCAACCAAAAGCTTATTAGGCCAGGGAGCTAGACAGATGCAGCTCAGTGGTTAAGAGCACTTGTTGAAGCTGGGCGTTGGTGGCGCACGCCTCTAATCCCAGCACTCAGGAGGCAGAGGCAGGCGGATCTCTGTGAGTTCGAGGCCAGCCTGGTCTCCAGAGCAAGTGCCAGGTTAGGCTCCAAAGCTACACAGAGAAACCCTGTCTCGAAAAACCAAAAAAGAAAAAAAAAAGAGCACTTGTTGATCTTGCAGAGGACCTGGGTTTTGTTCCCAGCAACCGCACGGTGGTTCACAACCGTCTGTAATTCCAGTTCCAGGGGATCAGATAAACTCTCTGGCTTCTGCAGGCATCAGACATGCTCATGTACACAGAATACATGCAGGCAAACCACCCATATGCTAAAATAATTTGAAAAATGTATTTTAAGAGAAAGATCTTTAGACTGTCTCAAGGTCCTTGCCACAAGCTCCTAGGGGTCGGGCCCTAGAGTCAGGTTACACCTCACCCTCTGTCACCTATGTCCACAGATGACGCTGTTATCTGTTTCGGGACCTCACATTCTGACCTCAGAAATGGCCTTCCTGGTCCTAGGTTCTCTCTACACCTATCTCATGTGTGGCTGAAGGACATGCACCACTTTTAAACCTGTGTGACTTTGCTTATATACATACTCGTAACAGAAAGCTGCACATTTACCATTGACCACTAGATGGCACCATCTCACAGACTAGGCTACACTCAGAGCATACATTTTGAGACATCTTTGAGAGTGTTTGCCATCTTCCTCGAGAGTGTCAAATTTAAACATTGTGGACTCTGTCCCAGTATGAATGCAAAGAACCCGACTGAAACCGTCATGGTCACCAGCACTTGAGAGGCAGAAGAAAGTGGAATCCTGCAAGATTGAGGCCAGCTTAGCCTGAATTGTGAGTTTCAGGACAGTCAGGGCTATGTACGGAGACCTTGTCTAAATAATGATGATGATGATGATGATGATGATGATGATGATGATGATGATGACAATAATAATAAGGTAAACTTCCTTATATATATGTATATACATATATATATCCTTTTATATATATCCTTATATATATATGTATACACATATATATATCTTTATATATATATATATGTATACACACACACATACACACACACACACACACACACACACACACACACACACACAAGAAGAGAATCATTCAGACTAAGAAAAAGTTTTCTAGGAAGAATTACAAAAACAGCAGTGTGCCTTTTCCTGTCTGCTTCCTTCTGTCTGTAAATACAGGCTGCGTCTAGACACGGCAATAAACACAATTGTTCAGTGTAATTGTTTCTGTTGTTTGTGGGGCTGAGTCAGCAGGGGGAGGGCTGACAAATGAAGAGGTTTAACCCTATTTTCCTCCTCCCACTCCCGTGCAGATCGGAACAGACGGCTTGGACTGGGACAAACACAGCTTTGCAAAGGTAAAATAACACTTTGAATGCCTTCCTTAGGCACATCCATTGATTTCCCTTTACTCTAGACGCAGCGCGGCGGGGTTTCCTGGGTAGGTTTTGATGTTGTTGACTGCTTTTTTTGTTGATTTGTTCTTGTCAACTTGACTTAAGCTAGAGTCATCTGAGAAGAGGGAATCCAGTTGGGGAACTGCCTCCATCAAATTGTCTTGTACGCAAGTCTGTGAGGTATTTCTTCATTCATGATTGATCTGGAGGGCCCAGCCTGTTGAGAGTGATGCTATACCTGGGCAGGTAGCAGGAGAAGGAAGAGGAGGAGGAGGAGGAGGAGGAGGAGGAGGAGGAGGAGAAGAAGAAGAAGAAGAAGAAACAAAAATAAAGAAAAAAAGTAAAAAATTAAAAAAAAAAAAACAGAAGAAAGCAGGCTGAACAAGCAATTGAAAGGAAGCCAGGAAGCAGGCTTCCTCCGTGGCCTCTGCTTCAGTTCCTGCCTCCATGTTCCTGCCTTGACTTCGCTTCCTGATGGGCTGTGACCTATAAGATAAAACAAACCCTTTCCTCCCCAAGTCACTTTCTGTCACAGAATAGAAATCTAGCATGGCTACTGGTATGATGTTACGGTGATGTGGTCCCGGAGCTGTCGTGCAGGGCAGGCGACCCTGCTGTCACTGAAGCTCAGCTTTGGGCTGTGCAGCCCTGTCCTGGTTAGGGCTTCTATTGCTGCAGTCAATCACCATGACCAGAAAGCAAGTTGGGGACAAAAGAGCTTATTTGACTTTACCCTTCGGCACCACTGCTCATCATGGAAGGAAGTCAGGACAGGTACTCACAGGGCAGGAACCTGGAGGAGCTGATGCTGTGATTGTATGTGTGGGGGGGAGGGGAGGGGAGGTTGTCCACACGAATGCAGCACCTACATGGTCAGAAGAGGGCATCAGAGCCTCTGGAACTGGAGTTACAGGCAGTTGTGAGCCTCCTCAATGAATTCCGGTCTTCTTAACCACCAAATCACCTCTCCAGCCCCCAAATAAATCTGTTTGTTTGTTTGTTTGTTTTTTAAGTGGCATCTAAGGTGTCCATAAAGCCCCTCGATATTGCTTCCCCTATGGCAATGGTCCTCAAACTATGGGTCGTGACCCCTATGGTTGAGCAATCCTTTCACTGGTGTTGCCTAAAACCTTCTGCGTACTAGATACCAGTTATGGAGTAGCAACAAAATAGTTTTATGGTTGGGATCACCACAACATGAGGGACTGTGTTGAAGGGTTGTCGTTAGGAAGGTTGAGAGCCACTGCCGTGTGGTCTTTCTCACTGCCATCACATCATACATATATGTTCTATGCGACTTGGGGTTATAAAGACTTTTTTTTTTTGTTATAAAGACTTAACATTGCTTTTTAAGATGAAAAAGATTAAACAGCCCTTTCTATTTTTAAATGTTAAAAGGACTATCCCCCTCCCCCTTTTCCTTCTTTGCCAAAGCTACACTGATCCGTTAGTATCTTGGAAATTTTCATGCAAATAAAAACAAAAAAGTATTGTTGCCAGGCAACAAATAAAAGGCGAGCATTATTTTTATGCCTTTTGGGAGGTGTACCATCTCACTCTGCAGTTTCCATGGAGAATCCCAATTATCAGGAATAATCAAACGCTGCTACATTGAAATTTTATGCCAAGAGACTTGTTTCAGCAAGCAATTGCCAACGCTAGGGGACGAGGAGGAGGAATGTTTAGATGGAACCTCCTCGATGGGCATAGTAGCAAAGCAAGTCCCCTGAGCCACTGAGTCATCTCTCCAGGGAACTGTATCCCTGTGGACAGATAGATACAGCAGAGGGTATTTGGAAGACAAAAGGTTTTGATTTCTTTGTGCGAACCTGGGGTAGCTTACCAAGACTGTTGGTTCGGGCTCTTGCTGGCATCTGGAGATGTTCTTTCTCTCCTGGGACAGGAGAAATGTACCTGCCATGTGAGCATCTTGCAGGGCAGAAGGAAGAGGGAAGATTAGAGGGTGACATTTTTGGGTTTCCTGGCACGCTTCAAGGAGGAGCACCAGCGAATTCTCCAGCCATGCTCAGAGGTTAAGAGCCCTCGCTGCTCTTCCAGAGGACCCCAATGCACTTCCCAGCACCCACGAGGCAGCTCACCAGCTGCTATAACTCCAGCTCTAGGGTATTGATGCCTTCCTTCTAGCCACCTTGGGCACCTGCAGACACGTGGCATACACACACAAATACACACAGGGACATATAAAAAGTAAATCTTAAAAAAGAAAGAGAGAAAACATGCCTGATATTATTAGTCCTGGCTCCACCCACCTGCTTCTTGACTGCTGAGGCAGTGTAGACAGCTTACCTCATGCCCCAACCTCGGGCTTCCCTATCTTTAGAAGCTGTGAGGTAAGTGAATCTTTCCTCCCTGTGTAGTTTCTGTTAAGCATTTTGTCAGAGTGATGGAGAAGTAACTAATACATGGTTATGTGAACCTCTAACCTATAAAGTTTAGGGTTTTTTTTAGAGATTTTTGTTGTTGTTTTTCAAGACAGGGTTTCTCTGTTGTAGCTTTGGAGGCTGTCCTGGAACTAGCTCTTGTAGACAAGGCTGAACTAGAAAACACACAGAGATCTGCCTGCTTCTGCCTCCCGGGTGCTGGGATGTCCACCACCACTCGGCTTAGATTTGCTTATAGATTTACAAGTCAGTAAGTTTCAAGGTGAGTTAGAAAAAACAAAGCCCTTATCTGATTGATATGTTAGAGAAAAAGTAAAACAGTGTGTGGGAACTGACGTTTTTCAGTCCGGAGCTTTTGTGCTGCCCCCTCCAGCTTTGGCAACTTTATTTAGAATCCCCTCAGAAATGTCTGTGAGGGAGTTTCTAAACCAGGCTAAATGAGTGCCACCCTGAATGTGGGAGGTACTGTTCCCTGGACTGAGTCCAGGGAACAGTATGAATAAAAAGGAGAAAGTGAGCTGAGCATCAGCATCCATCCATTTCTGTTTCCTGACTGTAGCTGCCATATGACCAGCTGCTTCCTGATCCCACCACCAAGCCCTCTCAGCCAGGATAGACTGTACCTTCAAATCTTGATCCACCAAACTGTGACCCTCTAAACCATGATCCTTCAAACTGTGATCCTCCAAACCGTGATCCTCCAAACTGTGACCCTCCAAACCGTGAGCCACATGAACTCTTCTTTCCCTAAGCAACTTTTGGTTTGTTTGTTTGCTTCAGTAATGAGAAAAGAATTAACACATCTGGAGGCATTCTTTGTTGACACAACTGTGTGGGTAAAATTTATGTAGAGATGGTGCTAGCTGGCTTATGAAACATGGGCCACGCCTGTGTTTTACTCATTAGCTACATACTAAACAAAAGGTGACTGCACTAAATGTGGCAGGTGGTTATGACAGTAGTTAGTATTTGTGTATCTAAACACATTTAAACATAGAAAGGTATAGCAGAGCCAGGTGGTGGAGGCACACGCCTTTAATCCCAGCACTTCTAAGGCTGAGGCAGGCAGATCTCTGTGACTTCAAGGCCAGCCTGGTCTGCAGAGCTAGTTCCAGGATAGCTAGGGTTGTTATTCAGAGAAACTCTTTCTTGAAAAACCAAAATAAATAAGGAAATAAAGAAAAAGAAAAAGAAAAAGAAAGGTACAGCAAGGAGCTGGGGAGATGACTGAATGGTTAAGAGCACTGGTTGCTCTCCTAGAAGACCTGGATTCAATTTCCAGCACCCACATGGTGGCTCATAACCATCTGTAACTCCAGTTCCAGAGGAGCCAACACCCTCTTCTGATCGCTGAGGGCACTGCATGAACATGGTGCACACACACACACACACACACACACACACACACACACACACACACACACAAACACACATACACACACATACATACATACAAGCAAAACGCTCATACACATAAAATAAAAATAAAATAAAACTTAAAAAGAAAGAAGAGTACAATAAAAATAGTAGGCAATAGGACTCCTTCTTTTGTTTGTTTGTTTTCCCAGACAGGGTTTCTCTGTGTAATAGTCCTGGCTGTCCTGGCACTCTCTGTGTAGAGATCAAACTCACAGAGATCCACCTGCCTCTGTCTCCTGAGTTCTGGGATTGAAGGCATGTACCACCACACTTGGATTAATTTTACTGACTGTAATGAATAACATTGCTTATTTGTGTCATAAATGTTGCTAGCCGAAGTTACAGCCATCTTTTTGAACATTTTTTTTTTTTTTTTTTTTTGCTTTTTCTGGAGTTAATAGTAGCTTCCTTTGGGGTTTGGAGATGTAGCTCAGCACTTGAATGCTGCTTGTTGCTCTTGCAGAGGACCTGAGTTCAGTTCCCAGAATCCATGCTGGGCAGCTTACAATTGCCTGTAACTTCAGCTCCAGGGGTATCTGCCACCCTCTTCTGGATGCTTTGGACACTTGCACTCACACATGCACATACCCCATACAGACACACGCACATACACAAAATTAAAACAGCTTTGTTTACTTCTTTTTGTGTGTGTGTATTACCTATCACTAATTACTTCTGAACTGTCCACCAGGTCTGTGTAACTTCTTCAATGTTATTTTTTTATGGCAAGTTTCTTCAAATGTGTTAGAAAGTCTGTAGTTGTTTGTTCTTTCCTGTGACCTCCCTCCTGGACTGCTTTCTCCTTGAGCCTCTGAAATTTGAAAACACGCATAATTTCCCATGTATTTTTCCTTTAGGGAAAATTTAGGCCTGGAGGTGTAGCTCAGTGGCAGAGTACTTTCCCAGCATACGAGCAGTCTTGCGTTTGGTTCCTAGCATAGAGAAAAAAAGAAAGCAAGAAATTTTATCCTCTTGGTGTCTTTCTATTAATGACCTGATTTTTCCTGATGATATACTCATGAAACACATGATCTCTCTTTCATTAACATGTCCCAGAGTTGGTGGTAGTCCCCAAGTGCTCATGGTCTAGAGAGAGCAAGTCCTGGACTTAGCAAATCAAATCCAAGTACCTTTCCTTTATCATTACAGTGAGGAGACACTGTCAACATCCCACCCTGACCCACCGTGGCAGTCCTCTTGGCCCTGGATGGTACTCCCACCCCGGGGAACCATAAATCCTGCCTGCTAATGTCCCACAATCGCACCGTCCTCTGGAGACTTGCTCTTGGTCAGTGGGAGCCACGTCTTTACTTCTGTGAGATAGCAGGCTCAGGCACAGTAGGTTTATGGGATTGTGTGGTAACCTCTATAACCAAGCCATTAATCCTAGCACTTGAGAGGCAGAGGCAAGGAGACCTCTGTGCATTTGAGTTCAGCCTGGTCA